TGCTCGACTATGGAATTTGAAGCGTCTGAGATCGAAGGCCCTCCGTAAATACTGTCGTACTCGTAACCCATTCACCAAACGATTATTTTCAACAGCGAGCAACGAATATCGCACATATAACCGCATTCTTTACAAGAGCTACACAAGGCGTGTGCAGGCTAATTTACGGCTTAATCCAAAGCAGTTCTGGTCATTCGTGAATACCAAACGAAACGAGGAGGGGCTACCAGTCGAAATTCACCTGGGTGATAAAATCGCCAGCAATTCCCTTGAGAAATGTAATCTTCTGGCAGAACATTTCAAAAGCATTTTCAATGACACTACGGCTTCGTTGTCCCAAGTTGCTGAAGCGGTGAGGGACACCCCCAGTGATGCTTTCAATTTTCCGATTACCTCGGTTACAGTAGACCTCGTCGAATCCACCATCAAGAAGCTGACATTTTCTAATGCTGCTGGCCCTGACGGGATCCCCTCAAGCATCCTGAAGCGATGCTGTTCAAAGCTTACAACACCGCTTTCGAAGCTGTTCAATATCTCATTACAGCAGGGGGAGTTCCCTACTCGTTGGAAATCGTCATTCATGTTCCCGATCTACAAGAAAGGAGACAAGAGAAACGTCGAAAATTACCGAGGGATCACATCACTCAGTGCCTGACCAACACGGTTTTTATCCCAAGAGATCAGTTTCAACAAATCTAGCTCCGTTCATTTCTTTATGTCTTCGGAGTATGGAAGCTGGAGCGCAGTTGGACGTTGTATATACAGATCTTAAGGCTGCATTCGACCGGGTTGACCACTCCATACTGCTAGCTAAACTTGAAAAACTCGGTGTATCCTCGGGTTTAACTCGTTGGTTCAAGTCCTATCTGACCAATCGGGAACTTTGTGCTAGAATCGGATCAGAGCAATCGGACTATTTTACAAACAGCTCCGTTGTTCCTCAAGGTAGCAACTTGGGACCATTGCTATTCTCGATTATTGTGAATGAGGCCAGCCTGATCCTCCCAACTGGTTGCCGATCGTTCTACGCGGATGATGTGAAAATCTATGTGATTGTTCGTAGCTTCGCCGATTGCTTGCGGCTTCAGCACCTAATCGATACTTTCGAAGAGTGGTGCTCAAGAAACTATCTCACGTTGAATGTACAAAAATGTAATATTATCTCATTTCATCGCAAGCTGAAACCAGTGGCATTCAACTATACGATAAATCACCAACTTCTGCAACGTGTGGACAATGTTCGTGACCTAGGAATCACGCTGGACTGCGCCTTAACATTCAAGCTTCATTACTCGGGCATCGTTGCAAAAGCTAACAGGCAACTCGGGTTCATTTTCAACATCGCTGACGAGTTTCGCGATCCTGCCTGTCTAAAAGTCTCTGTAGTGCGATCGATCTTGGAATTCAGCTCGGTAGTATGGTTCCCGTATCAAGCAGTTTGGATAGCGAGGATTGAATCTGTTCAAAGGAAATTTGTTCGGTATGCCTTTCGTCACCTTCCTTGGAATGACCCTGTGAACCTTCCGCCGTACGAAAATCGTTGTCAACTCCTGGGTCTTGAAACACTAAAACATTGGCGGACGATTAGTCAGGCTGTGCTCGCTGCGAAAGTACTTATTGGTGATATCGACTCTCCAGGAATCTTGGCTGAATTCGAAATCTACGCACCCGAACGAGTTCTTCGGTCGAAGAGTTTCCTGCATCTTGGACCTCGTGCTGCGAACTACAGCTTGCATAACCCAATACGGTTCATGTCTGGGCGTTTCAACGAGTTTTTCGACTTTAACTGTGCAGCGGAAACCTTTCGTCACCGTATTCAACGCAGACTACTGAGAAGGACTTCTAGCTGATTCACGGACAACTCTATGCCATAGGAGGATAACTTTGTTTTAAGCTATATACTTGATTAATGTTCGTTGTTATTGTATTGTATTATTGTGATTCATGTATTTCGAAAAGATATGGGGTTTTTACGCCTTTTCTAGGCTTTTCCCCATCAGGCTTCATTTAGACACGTTAAGTCCGATGAAGAAAAACAAATTAAATAAATAAATTAAACAAACTATTACTGTTTCATCACACAGAATTGGCACAGACATATTTTGAAGATCCCAAACTTTGACAAAATTTAAGATTTTTAACTTAAATATTTGACATTGTATCCGAAGTTTTTTTTTGAAATATCACAAATTTTCGGTACTTTAAAATTCTAAAATTATCTTCAACAATAAATGCAATAAGGTCGTAAAAAATAAAATTCCGGGGTTTTTTCTGGATGGGGAGGCTACCCAAGTAACCATAGGCACGTTTATTATTATTATTCCTTTTTGGCTATATACGGGCCTCATCAGAACTTGCAAACACTGGTATAGCCGTTGTTTAGCTGTATTGACGAATCGGAAAAACTTGACCTTCTCCTATTTGAATGAAACTTTGCACAATTTCTTTTGTCCTTATTTTGTTTTCCGTCGATCTTGTTTTCCGTACTGAGTACCAATACTACCGACGCCTGGGACGCAGCTTCTACATGTGGACCCTACCTATCGACCCATCAACTCATGGACCGGGGACCAACGGCTTAACTTCCCTTCCGAAGGAGATTTTATGCCTCAGAAAATCCCGGCGGCGCCGACTGGAACTGAACCCAGGCCTTTTGGAATGAGAGGACAACAACGTTTACCAGTACACTACCGGCGCCATTAACTGTGCACAATTGTTTGTTATGCAAAATGATAATTTTTGAAAACAAAACAAAAATTACAAAAACCGTAGAACAAGAACTTTTGGTCAAATTTTTTGATATTTTTCATGTTTTGTATGCTCATAAACCAATGTTTCAATCATTTTAAATCATTTTCAGAGAAAAATATTAAAAAAGCGTATCAACAAAAAATTCCAAAATTTGACCAAAAATGGGGGGGGGGGAGGGGGTGAATTGTTCAAAGCGTTTAATGGAAATTTCAAGGATAGTTTCAAGGGCATCATGAAAAGAATTTCTAAATAACTTTAAAAGGAATTTCATGGGAATTTTCGGAATAATTTAGAGGAGAGCTCCAAGATAATTCTGAGTAGTATTTTAAGATAAATCTGTGGAGAATTGTATGGAAATTAAGAAACAAAAGGATAATTTAAGCGAATTTAAAAAAATGGAAAGCAGCTTCGAATTCGGAGAGAGTCTAAGGACGAATTTCAGAGAATTTCTGAACAGAAGAAGATAAAGATATTTTCAAATGGCTGCCAGAAAAAACTTCCAAAAATCTCTGAAAAGAACTCTGCACACTTATAAATTATTATCGACTTAAAATCCCTGATTGCATTGGCGCTCAGCACGGTAAACAAATCAACGAAAAAAAAAATTTCTCTCGAGACACCAACTCGATTAGACTTGATCTTTGTCCTCGTTTTAGTATTTTTTTTCCCTCCAGAAAATCGCCCGCTGTGGTCCGTATGAAGAACCGCACTTTTGCGTAACGTTATATTTGAACGAGCCCTAATTTACACTCACCAATAAAGTATAACAAAGTGTCAATATCAGAGCTCGGTCACGTCAAAAGTGCCCGTAAAAAGGCACTGCTGCATCTACAAGCTTCCATTATCTCACTCTCGCGTGCACTGTTATCGCTTTCTATTGTTTTTCAAATCGTGTCCGCCGGGAGGGTACAAGTGTGTGTATGCGTGTGTATACACTTGCACTTCCGGTTTTGTCCAAATCACGTGGAATAATAAATAATCCGTTTCTCAACCACTTTCTGCCACTGATCAGCCGCGCGCTTCGCTGGAAAGAGAAAGAACGTACACCTATTAAAAAGCTAAAAATAAACTCACTTACTGTCAGTCAGTCAGTCAGTGCCGGTGTGTGTGTGTGTATGGTGTCTTATCACAGCAATTAACTCCAACCCCCTTGCTTTTCCCCATGAACCCACGCTCTCTTTCTACCGCACCTACGCCTATTCACCATCTGGTAGCCGGTAATTTCCGACAACTTTGTGAATGTTTAATCGCTACCTTTCGGAACCTCAGGTAGAGCATCATATTTAAATTGTGAGAAATATTTACTAGCTTCGGCGATGAATGCTACGAAAGTCTGATTAGAGCCGGAGGAAGACGGGGGAGCCAATTAATGACTCGTGTAAATTGTACACACCAGTCTTTCTAAAACTTGTGTTAACTTGCTGCTTCCCGATAAATGGTATGTGCACACCGGAAAGTGACCGTCCAAGGGCAGAGGCGTTTTTTTTTCTAATCGCGTTTTTTTTTCGCCTGTTTAATTTGTTTTGTGTATGTTACGATCGGTTGTACAATTGTTAAGCTTCTGAAGCGTGAAAAGTGAATGTTTTTATAGTAGTAATGACTGCCCAAAGCTGAATCACCCGAATGCGATTTTAGCTCCGATGTGGGTCCCAAACCTCCGACTATTTCGGATCTATAATGCTACTAATTTATTCACAATTATCCCCACTTGACATTTATTCCGGCAAACAACTCCGTCCGACAGTAATTTATTACATATACATCAGTCAAATGTGCATAGACATCCGTTACCACTACTCCGACGAAACCGGACAATCCGCTTAACCTCCCTCTCCCCTTCGTGTTTTCACGCTATTTAAATATTCTGATAGTATAGCTACATGCAGTAATTGACGGATCATCCGTCACCCAGCACCGCAGCGCAGCGCAGCATCTCATCAAAGCCTTATTTATTACCGTTTCTACCTTTATTCTCACACAGCTTTTCGCGAGCTAGACGAACTTGAGTCCGTGCATTCGCACGATATGCTCCGTTTGTTTTTGCCCCATGCGCTTCCTATGTGAGGTGCGCTTCCAATCCGGCGAGAATAGCACATAAAACAAACCCCCTTTCTACTGCCAGTCACCCACCACCCCTTTGCGAAGCAACTCCGATTCACGTTATTTGAATCAGAATCTGATGCACCGGTCTTGCATGCAACTGAAAGTGTACTAATATTGTTTTTCGATGTTTTTTTCTTTCGTTTCAGCTGGTGGAGAGGGGAGTGACGTAGATACCAACAACATCCAGGATCTACTAAACGATACCGGTGAGTAGCAGGAACTTGCGTTCAACATCGGGACGAGTGCGGTATTAATCGCTTTTCTTGTGTCTGAGATAACACTAAGCTTTCATGTTGTGTTGGATGCAATTGGCGTTGACGGCACCGTCGAAAAATTTGCTCTTTCAGCAAATATAGACAGTTTCTTATGGGAATTTTCGGTGGAGTGAAAGGATAGTACAAAGTCCGCCATGTTTCACGCACAGTCTGACGTTTGCTTATGGATTTTCTCATAGGAGTAAAGAGCTACAGAGTCGCCGTCAACGCCAATACTCATCGTCAATTCAAGCTGAACATTGCATTAGGTCCTAAGTAACATTGATCGATTCTCTTCATAGACTTTATCTTTCGTTAATAACTTGGGTATAGAAGCGTTTCTTGTCATGTTTGTCGTATTAGAAGATAGATAATAGCTTCTTTCATCGATCTGTGAGCTGAAAATAGCTGGGAACAGTGTCTGTTTTCATCATTTACCATCACAAGCAAGGAGTAGTGCTTCAACCCAGTGTAGATGATTTGCATTTATTTTGCTGCTACGTACGAGCGAAATGAACAAAAATGAGTGTTCATTAGACTGCCAGCGAAAATGGTAATTTTTAATTTCGCTAACAAACCATATACAAAATGTTTATTGCCTCGAAAAATGACCCTATGCAAAATTTGAGCTCAATCGTACATGATTTAGGGGTGGCGCAAACGCGCACTTTTTTCACTCTCGAAAAGCTCCCAAGGGGGGTACATGAAATTTTGGAAATCAAAAAAAAAATTTTGATGCCAAATGTCTTAAAAATGCATGAAACGTCGAGATTTGGTGTTATCTCGAAATTTTTTTTTTCAAAAATCGACTTTCTGGGACTATATAGCTCTATATGGAATATAGAAGATTGATGAGTCGGCTTCTAAAACTGTTCACAATTGTCTCCAACCTGCTTATATATCGAATTAAACCACCATTTAGGATCTAATACGAAATAATTCATTAGGGTGGTCCAATTATTCTTCATTAGGGTGGTCAAAAAATCAAAATAGGTATGTAAAAACCATTACTTTTTACCAAACGCATGTATCTGAAAATATCATCCAAACTTCAAAACATTTGATGATATTACTTTTTAGTATCTGAGACCACATAAAATAGAAGCATAGACAGACATAAATCGTAGAATAATTCCGAAAATTGTACAGCACAACCGTTAGTGCTGTTTAGTTTACAGTACAATCTGACGAAAGTACAATGACTTTTTAACATATTCACCTAATACGGGACAACCCTTTATATGTGTTTCTTTTAAATTCCTACCCTATAGAGGTGCCAAAAAAGTACCCGTATAAAGCATATTGTTTATCTGGCTTCCCTTGGGAGATTTTCGAGAGTGTAAAGAGTCAAACTTTGACGCGTTTGCGCCACCCCTAAATCATGTCCGATTGAGCTCAAATTTTGCATAGGGTCATTTTTCGAGGCAATAAACATTTTGTATATGGTTTGTTAGCGAAATTTGATGGTCAAATTTTTCCCATACATTCATTGGCAGTCTAGTGTTCATTATACATCAACGAATACGCGTTTGTTGATATTCACCAGAGCTTGATTATCCAACCCAAAATTGTCAAAATCAGAAGGGATCCTCAAAAGTAAAGTAATCAAATTCATTTTGAACCAAATGATTGTTTGGAATATTGTTGAACCCAGAGCCTAAAACCTAGGTATTATCATCAATTCAGCATGAGTGTAAAAACCAACACGACGCGTTCTACTGCGGTATATTTGTGTAAAATGAAAATAATCATTTTGCATTTGATCCTCAAAATCATTTCCACCAAGATGAGGAAGAATATTAATATTAACAACAATGGAGGCGATAATAAACATACAGCCACGAATGAAGAAAAACCAAAAATGTTGACTGCGATACTCAGAGGTTGCCTTGATTGAGAGGATGCTGTTATGTCCAAATTCAAATTCATGCAGGTAGTTGGTCTATCTGTTAAGGTTGTCTTCATTTCCAGCTAAGTTGAGTGTAGAAGAAATGATTTTTATCAGCACTGGCTGGGAATGTCTTAAAATGGCCGTGAGGATGCCAAGAGAAAGTTGACGAAGAGATACTTTCAAATTTACTTAGGGCCTAATGCAATGTTCAACTTGAATTTCATTCGATATGAGTTTAGTTTAGTTTGCACGCTAACTTGAAAGTACCCATTCATGAGTAAAATTACACCCATTGCAAAGAAAAGTGATTGACTCATTAATGGGTAAAATTTGTACACCTTTAAGGTGTTTCGCTGTGAGAACCTTATAATCGTAACCACTTCGAAACTTTGACTGCACAAATATCAGCTTTTACGATACGTACCACAAAAAAACTGTTACTCCACGTTTGCTGTACTGCAGCATACATGAAGTAGCAATTTCAGATGAAATGGGGCATTATTTTCCGAGATGTGTTTTATTTGAAAATTCGAAGTGGAAGTGCATGTATAGCCTAAGTGGTGGCCATTTGTGGACTCCACAAGGAATCACCTTAAAGAGTAACTGCTACCCATTATTAATATTTAATTGGCAACAGTTACTCAAAATGGATAAAAAATTAACCCATCAATAAGTTATCTTCAAAATGAGTAAAATTTGACTCATTGGTGGGGACTATCAAGTTAGCGTGTCATAATATCGCATGCAAGTTTCAAATCAAGAATTGCATGCCACATTCGCTTCTTTACACGGACGTTGAATCTTTCCCGCTGACTGAGTAAAATTCAACTACCGTGTACACCTACGATTTGGATTAAAGAACCTTAAAGCTTAAGGTGAAGCTTTACATCCAACTGGCAATGCAATCGTTGGATGACTTTTCAAATTATTGTGTAAAACTAATCTTAGCAATTCATTAAACCTAGAAAAATATCTTAAACAATTGTCTGGATAAAAGTTGCTTGTTCAGTACTGAACTAGCATTACTGTTCTCGTGAAAAATATCTACGGAGAATGTAAGAAATTCAAGCTTTGTTAAGCGTGTATAGATTTTTCATGTATCCGCAATTGGGGTTGACGGCACCGTCGAAAAATTTGCTCTTCCGCCAAATATAGACAGTTTCTTATGGGAATTTTCGGTGGAGTGAAAGGATAGTACAAAGTCCGCCATGTTTCACGCACAGTCTGACGTTTGCTTATGGATTTTCTCATAGGAGTAAAGAGCTACAGAGTCGCCGTCAACGCCAATTTATAAGATTCCAATGATGCCTGCTTTACTGCCCATACCCGCATGTCAGTCCCAGGGTGGCCAGATTATTTTTTTCAGTATCGGTAGCTTCTCGAAATTTTTATCGGTAGTTATCGGTAGGGCACCGTAGACTTCCCGAAACATAAAACCTTTGGGAGCGGGCGAAGGATGAAAACAAATCACGCGCAGAGTCGGTTTTTAATGAGTCGCGCCAAGAGTAAAGCCAAGTCTACCTATTGAACTGCCAAATCGGCTACCTATCGTTCAAAGTTAACAAACAATAATATGCTATGAAAGGTTCACCAAAGGTATTGCAATAAATTATAAAATATAATCGAAGACATGTTCATAGACACGCAGTGAGCATTATATTGTCATGGGATACGTTTGGTAATGATCAGTAATGAGAATTTCTACTATTTTTTGTTAGGATAATTTGACAAAATCACTGATATAATGATTTACTACAGCCGCTATTTTTTCTTGCTAGAAGTCATTTGAAGTTGATGTAGAAGTCCTCTGTTGCCAAGTGAAAAGAAAGGGAATCTTTCGAAAACCGTGATGCGAGTTCAACTGTTTTTCTCTTGGCGTGACTTATTATACACCGATTCTGGTGTAATCATAACAAGTAAGTGTGAGAAGGATGAACAGAATACGGAACCAAAAAAGGGAGGAACAGAAAATAGCATATCCACTAGGAGATAGACAGAAAAAGTCGATTAAACGTAAAAAATCTCTCCCGTTTGGATTGAAGTTACAAATTGGGTTGTTTAGGGGTATTGAGGTAAATACATATTCGATATCTGCATTAAAAATGGAATCGAAATCCATAATTTCGTCAATTTTGGTACACTGGAACTATTTTTAATAAGTACGATTGCATTTACAAAAATCACCATCTTAGCGCCCCTGGTGGGATTTGTATAAGAGTGAGCTGTTAACGAAAAGATTTAGTGTCAACGATCAAAATTCAAATCATGATTTAAAAATCGAGATGAATGTCTACGGGATTTATAAAAATATCGTTGTGCTCAGAAAACGAAGCTCTATCAGATGATGTATAAAAATGAGTATATTTTTTCGAAGTTAAACAACTCAATTAACTGACAACACGAAAAAAAAACACAGGTATTGAACATTTTTCAAGATTACTTAAAATCTGTGATTCTCGGTAGGAAAAGTGTAAATCGGTAGTTTTGAACCTTTCGTCTGTGAATCGGTATGCATCCTGAAAATCGGTAGGACTACCGATAAATCGGTAGGAATGGCCACCGTGGTCAGTCCCATATGAAAGATTGCCATTTTGAGAAAAAGACGACTGCACATTTATATAATTCGTTGTTTTCTCGTTTAATTCTAGTTATCATGTAATGCTGAAATTAATTCCATTACAACATAACAATATAGTTTGTAACAAAAATATAATTAAAACTTTTGTTTATGAGCCGAAATCATATGGGACTGTTATGCGAGTACTTTCCTTGAAGAGCGCAAAAGTACTCGCATACCAGTCCAATTGCGCACTATCGCTTGAGTTGTTTACCTCGGACGTAATAAGTGCATTTCAAAATTAACATTGGATTAGTACTTTTTGCGTTGCATGTAACTTAACTGTGGTAAAAAATGTTAGCTCTTGGAGCAATTAAAGTATACGGTGGTTTTTTTTTTAACTCTTTATTTGTTCCAAATTCAAAATAAATTACATTTCATTTTAACCTAGGTGCTCCAGTTACTGCAGTAACGTACCAGCCTTAATTGTTATGATATATATCT